AAGTTGTCATTCTGTAAATTCGTCTGCATGAATACAAGAAAAGGGTCAAATGTTCTGTAGAATTAACTTCAGGTGGGTGACATTCCTCTGTGGGTCATCACTTTTCTTTACAAACACCTGCATAAATCTTGTTTATATGCCTTGCCCTATTAAGCATTTCATTTAAGCAACAGCTGTATTTACAGATTGTTAGAGCACCTGCACGATTCCTCGGTGCTGTAATGCAGATCTATACATTTAGATACACTTGAGTCTTTCCCTGAGCCACCAGCTGCTGTGCACATACTCAGACTGAGCTGAAACTCCTGGCTGACACCTGGAAACCTGTGGCTCAGGAACCTCAGATACACTTGGTGCAAGGTGTGTTTTAAGTTCCCTCTCAGGTAAAGACTGGAGGCCACTGAGTTCTCTTCCTCGCTGGCCATCAGACACAGCAAGGTCACAGGGAGCTTTTGTACGTAAAGGCCCTGCAGCGCCACGACCCAGACAGATGATGCTATGCTGCGGGGGGTGAGAGAGGGTCTGGTCTGGCCAGAGAGTCGTCCTCTCCCAGGTTTGACCCATTTCTAAGCTGGCGCAGGAGGTTTGCTGCTCAGATTTCTTGAATTGTGAGTCCTGACACCACCTGGAGACCGCTTTGGGATTTGGGGTTTTTATGAGTGTAGAATGGCAGTTAAAATATTGCAGTTCTTGAGAAAAAGGAGCAAAAGCTGCAAACACACACTGTTGATTTAATAATGACATGTTGCAGCTTCACCATGTGATGTTTTTGCAAATATCATACTGTTGTTTTATGAATGATTGCTTGTTTAATACTTCATGGCAGAAGGCTCTCTTTAGTTCTTTGAGGCTGGTAGATTATGTACGGGAAGCACTCAGATTGCTGAATAAATGTAGTCTCTGGCTGCATTGCTTGACCTTTTGCTTTGCTTCAGATTTTTGTAACAGTCCTCAGTCACATTTTCCTGCTTTCGCTCCGCTGCCTGTCAGTCTGTCTGCACAGCACTTTGATGGATCTGTTGCCACTCAACATTTCTCTAGTCTTTGATGTACGATGATAGAAATATTAACTACGTGTCAAAACTGACATGTATGTGGCCATTGCTAAATTTAAACGTCCGATCTAGGAAATACAAGACTTTGCTCTCAGCAGGTCAAGTGATGCGTTAACTCATCCATCATTTCAGCAAACACTCATATGACACTACAGAGACGTCAGTGACTGAATCAAACTATTAAAGCCTGATAAATAATAACATTAGGCATAACAATAAAGTACAGAAATACAGCCGTAGGTGAAGTGAATAAGCAGTTCAGCTTGTTGAAAGGCAAGTGGAAAAGCCTTGAAGCTCAAAGGCAGAAGAAGTTAGATGTTGACCTTCTGTGCACCAAAGGCCCTCTTTGCTTCTTTGATGAAGCTGTCTGTGCATTTTACACACAAAGTCACAAAGTCTGATGGCCCTCTGCTGAGCCTGTGTGGAAGTTTGCAAGCAAGCCTTTGAAGGTTGACTTCAGAGAGCCTACCTGACCAACCAGGTGACACACAGAATGCTTTAGAGTGATAATGTGTGGATTCAGGTTGATGCAGGGATGGATGATTTAGACCAAGTAGGTAACGTGTCAACCAGTCAAAGGATTAACCAATATAAAATGTCTTAGAAAGGTACTAACAGAACAGCTTTAATACGCCTTGTCATTGATTCTTAAAGTCTCTGAACTCTACTAGAGGGATGAAGGCGATTCTTCCAATGTATTCGGTGTTTTAATGATGAGAGCGCTAACACAAACCCCCATATCTACTGGGTTGATTTGTTTTGACCGTGAAGACCACAACATATGATTCACATCGTTTTCATCCTCATCAAATCATTCAGTGACCCCTCCCGCTCTATGGATACATCCTGGAAGAAGAGACTGATCATCATAAAAAAGTTATGCAGTAAGATAAAGGTGATTACTTACAACATCCATCCATCCATTTTCTATACACCGCTTAATCCTCATTAGGGTCGCGGGGGGGCTGGAGCCTATCCCAGCTGACTTAGGGCGAAGGCAGGGGACACACCCATTGCAGGGCCACACTTAGAGACAGACAACCAAGCACACTCACATTCACACCTACGGACAATTTAGAATCACCAATTAACCTCAACATGTTTTTGGACTGTGTGGGAGGAAGCCGGAGAACCCGGAGAGAACCCACGCTGCACGGGGAGAACATGCAAACTCCACGCAGAAAGATTCCGGTGCCCCCACTGGGACGCGAACCGGCATTACTTACAACAGCTTTATATTATTTTTGCAGTGACCCTTCTTGTTAAGGATCACAAGTGGATCCAAATCATGCTGGCATAATTTCTCCCACAGTCACAGAGCCACCAGATGTTGTTTCTGTCAGGGTCAGTGGTTCAGATTCATCCTTTAATATGTCACCCATATGTAGCTGTGACTGCTGAAGTTTCCTTGTATATTGTCTGTCACAATTATTACTTCAGACATGAGAACCACAGTATTTTTTAAAAAGTACTCTTGCCACTCAGGGGCCACAGTTGAGTAGCCAGCTCACTTTGGATTGCAGGACATTGTCAAATTTTACTTTTGTTTTCTTTATTTTTCTGCTTCATAATTATGATTTGAGAAACATTTTTGCATATTTTGTTTCTCATTTTTCAAGCAGAACTTCAAGACTGTATTTCTCATCCATAAATTGAGAACTAACTAGATAAGGATTGCAGAATCAGTGTCTTCTTTTACATCATCTCTTTAATGTCATTTTTATAGACTTATGTTTATGTGATGTTTTTTTGTTTTTTTGGCTTCATGTTGTAATATTTTCTACCTGAGTATCCTCTTTTTTTGGCTTGTCTGTTCCATATAAATAAAGTTATTGTTAACTGGGGCTCACTGGAGGACTAGACACAAATAGTTCTCACAGCTCATGACATTTCCAACTATTTTGCACATACTGTAAAAGTTTGGTTGGGCACTGGTCAGTTTGGAACATACAATTTAGCATTCTAAGTATGTTTCCAAAACAGCTTGATCAGGACATCCTTACTTTGTAGAATACACTAGTCTCCCTTTACTGTATAATAAAATCAACAATTTCCCTGAGGAACCCTACCAAAAGGATCAATAAAGTTCAATCTAATCTAATCCAATCTAATCTAATCTAATCTAATCTAATCTAATCTAATCTAATCTAATCTAAAGAGATCTGTAATTGGGTCAAACAATGGTTCTTTTAATTAAATATTTCACTGTTCCTTTCAGATGTTTACCCAACAACTTGAATTCCTCCATTACTACAAAGACTAATGATAAGTGAAAATATAATGTTACATATATAAATACTGTACATTCATATTCAATGAAACACTTTAAATATCACCATATTTGCTTACACTACATTACAATACTACAAATAACTTATTATGCATGGATGTATGAATGATAAATAGGGTGAATAATGTGAAGAGTAACAGATTTCTTATCATAAAACAAATGAAATGCAATACTGATGCTGTTAAAAATGATGGCGGCCTGCAGAGATTTGTGACTACGTTTGAAGTACAGAGAGAGAAAGACACAGATGGTGAGTTTAGGAAGAAGCATACAGGAGGGTTTTGTGTGTCAGAAACCCTCTTGGCCCAGTTAAAACTCGCTGTCACAAATGACAAACGGACTTGTTTGCAAAGGCTCATACTGAAGTGAGGGTCTCCTGTGCTTCTCTGCTGCTCATCTTGCTCCGTCTGCTCTGTGAAAGGATCCACCGATGAAGGTACGGCCTGCAAATTTTTCCTTTTTTTATTAGGCACATATAATGGCTGATGACTCTACACTGTGATAATTTACTGTAAAAATACACTCTAGTTTTAACAGCGGAGTGCTATGTATTTCTTTTTTTCCAAAATATGGTTAAATACTCAAATCTGATGCTTTTTTGGAGCCAAAAACCAAATGGTTTTGTTAACAGCATCATGGTTCAGAGTAGTTACTTGATTTAAGATACAGGAATATGAGTAACTTTACATTGATGACCTGAGATATGCCATTTTTACATTATTTTTACATTAAGCAAAATAAGTTTTCCTTGATTTCCAAGAATGTATTTAATAAGCTACAATTTGTCTTGCATTACTGCCTTTAGATAAATGTTTCCTATCCATAAAAAATACAACTTGCCTTGCACTTCTTTATTGGTTTAAGTGTTTTACAGATTTTTTATAATAAGAACTATTAAATATTAATGACACATCCCAGCAAACAGGAACCTTAAGTGAACCTGCAGAGAATGTTCTGTTCCCTACGATCCTGTTTTCTAGGATTGTTATTTCTAGGATATGTTTGCAATTCACAGTGGGAAAAAAAGAGGTAAATGTTGTAATTTGCAATCAACTACAGTTACAGTTACTGTCAATGACAGAGGCAATGTTTTGGATGCTGTGTATCCCTGGAAGGTCTCGTCACAGAAAGAACCTCATACTCTACTGAAGAGTACTTTAATATTCAGATTAGTAGTCTATTACACAGTAATGAGCTGGTTAAGTAAATTACAATAGTGACACTGTAAAAACACTAAACTCATTTGATAGGAATATTTTATCAAGGGAATTCTGCAGTATTACATAATTTCTTCACTGCTATGAACTGATTGAGTTTTTTTGATATTTGAAGACCAATGACAAAACAAACATAAAAGCATGCAATTGAGGGTAAAAAGAGAATTTATTGACCAGAAACATGATTTAAAAATGCTATATAGGTGAAACAATTGTGTTCATTTTCCACCTGTTGTCATGTTTTCCATCTTAACCCCGTAACATACATTTTCCCATCATTTTCCTTAAAGTGGCTTTTCGGTTCTTTCATAGACATTGTATATGCAACAACTGGGTCACTGCTTGTTATGTGGCTAAATAAACTGAAATCCGCACAGAATGCACACATTTGTCATTTACATGGAGCTTCCTTCCCTGATCTTCCTCCTCAGGGCTTAGATGGCTGCTGTTCAGCTCCTGTTGGCTGCCACCGTGTGGATGATGCTTCACATGGGAGCTGCTGCTGCTGCTGTGCTGTCGAGCTCCACAGAGCTGCTCAACGCGACCAGAGCTGCAGCTGAGACACAGTCTTATTTGAGGATGCTCAGTGGAGCCGTGGGTGGGTCTCGCAGCAGACGTAGGCGAGCCATTTCACCCAGAGACATGAACGCCCTGCTGGACTACCACAACCGAGTCCGCTCTCAGGTCTTCCCTCCTGCTGCGAATATGGAGTACATGGTGAGATGCTAGATGTGGACTAGCCACACATGGTACTCCACAGCATGTGATTTGTTTTCTACAGTTATACAGTCGTCCTCAAATGTATTCATACCCTTCCACTAAAGAAAAGGCAAAATTCACAATAGTCACTCACATAACCACAAAATGAAATAAGTAATAATACATTTAAAAAATTGCTCAATTATAATTTAGTGATATAAGACATTGCTTTTGAATTGTGATTGAAAAGAATAATTTATGAAAACAAAACACTGTCCCGGACAAATTAGAGCACTTTGTTGATAAGCAGTGGCCCAAAATACCTGTCAACAGGTGCAGAAGTCTAACTGAGAGTTACAGAAAACACTTGATTGCAGTGATTGGCTCAAAGG